TTCTCCGCAACTCTCTTTGTGTCTATTGGCTGGGCTGCCGTCCAGTAATCCACCCGCAGCTCCATCATGTCTGCATGGACACCCTGGCTGGGGGAGGACAGGCCCCCACTCATTGATGGGGGGGAAAGTGTGTTGGATGAGGCCTTGCTGGCAGGGGACAGAAGCTCGCTGGAGCAGGAAGGGCCTGCATCATCTGAGTCTGCTGACATGGCTGAAGATGGTTCCGCTCTTCCAACCTTCACTGCCCCCACAAAGGGGATGAACTTCTTGGAGGAAGTGTCATCGGGACGCTGCTGCTGAGACATGAGCACGGCCTCTGCGATGGGCAGCAGGTAGACACAGTTGGCCCCAGTGACGTACTCTGTGATTCTTGACACAACGTCCTGTGTGTCCTGCAAGATGTTGAGAGACTCCAGGTTGTTGAACATGTCCCACCAGTACAGGTCCTGGAAGAAGTTGTCGTAGCGGCAATCCATGGAGCCCAGGTAGCTGGCCAAGGGGTGGGAACCCAGTGGGATGACCAGGAAGCGCAGGTAGTCCAGCCACTGGGCTGGCTGGTGGGACAGCAGCTCCACGAAGACCCGCAGCACAGCGTTGAAGTAGGGCTGCGCCCCTGCCACCGCTATCTTCACAGGCGTCAGGGCCTGGGAAGTGCCGTCGCAGTACCTCTGCATCCAGGACACGATGATGCTGAAGGCCTCCTGGACGTCATCTGTGGAGCAAGTGCACACCACTGGCAGCGTGTGCCCCTGCAGGATGTCCGAAAGTAACTGGCCCTGCCAGTCTGAGGTGTTGACCAGAATGATGTTCTCAGGCAGCTTGTCTGGGCAAATGAGGATGACATTCAGCTGGTCACGCACGGGCTTGCTGGGGATCTGCCGCTGGCTCTGTGGTTCTGGGTCCTCATCATCCGGTCTGTTGAACCAGTCATTCGGGGATGTGTTGCAGCTCTGGTGGCCAGCCTGCTTCCTCTTGGACCTGCTGGAGGGGATGACTAGAGACTTGGTGAAGCGCACTATGGATGGCAGCTTCCTGGTGAACCAACCCCTGGCAGAGGATGCTGCCTCCCGGCTGTCCTCCAGCTGTGGCGACTGCACCCCAGGGGAGCAAATTCTGTGGGCCACTGAGTCAGAGTCACTATCACTTGACATGCTGTCAAAGTATCGCCTGAGCTGGGGCTTTGGGGTGCTGGGGACGCTGATATTGTCCTCCGTGTCTAGGCTACTCTCGCTTGAGCTCTCCACGATGTCATGGCGACGGACCAGGGCCTTCTCCACTTTGGGGACGTACCTCACAAGGGCCTGTTCTGAGGACACGACCTTCTCCGACACTTGGGCCATGAGCACAGATGCCACGGCTTCCTGGTGGTAATTCTGTTGCAAGGTGGTGCACCTCCTTCTTACTATCAGGTTCCCTTCCTCAAAGTTGTCCTCCTGGGACTGCCTGTGGGCCGCACTGTAGCTGGCCGCCTGCTGAAAGAAGCTGTCAGGCGGGCCTGCAGAGTCGTTAGGCGAGGTCTGGGCCGAGGTGGTGGCCTGCCTGGCCCTGGCCTCACGATCGATGGGCTGGCTGGACAGGCAGGCCATCTGCATCTTGTCCACCTTAGTGATGCATGTACTGTAGGCCACCAATTTTGAGTCGCTCTGGCTTGGCTGCTTGCCTCCCGGGGTGCACGTGTTCTCAGGCTCCCGGGACAGACTCGGAGACTCCTTTCGGATCCTAGCGCTGTGGGGGCCCCACATCTCCATCTCCAAATTGGAGTCTGGTATGCCCTCGATGCATGGCCTGAGCTTGGGATTGGGGCTGCTGAGGATACTGTGATTGTCCTTCATGTCCGAGCCACTAGACAGGCCTTGGAAGTATGGCCTGAGCTGAGGTGTGGGGGTGCTGAGGACACCGTCATCGTGCTCAGTGTCTGGGCCACTGTCACTGGGAGTCTCCAGCATGTCATCCAGGAGGTCCAGGTCCTCTTCCTCTTCCAGGACATGCTCCCCATGATCCTGCTCAGGGTCCAGGGCCTCCTCCCACACTTGGACTGTGTGCAGCCATAACAGGACTTTCTCGTGGTAGTTCTGTTGCATGGTCATGGTCCCCCCTGTGACTTCCAGATTCTCTTCCTTGAAGTCATCCTCCTCCTGTGCCTGCCTGTGGGAATCATTGGAGCTGCCCTCCAGCTTTGAGAAGCATGTCTCACACTTCCATTCAGAGGAGCTGTCTGAGGACTCAGCCTTGGCACTGGTTTGCCTGGTGCTGTCCTCGTGGTCGATGGGTGGCCTGGACAGGGAGGTCATCCGGATCTTCTCCACCTGGCCGGTGGGTGTGCTGTAGGCCTCAAATTCATCATCACTCTCACTTGGCTGCTTGCCTCCCATGGCCCATGCATTCTCTGGCATGTGAGCCAGGCTCAGAGGCTCCGTTTGGCTTCTGTCATTATGGCTGCCCCGCATCTCCGACTGCGAGCTGGAGTCTGACATGTCTTCAAAGTATGGCCTGAGCTGGGGCCTAGGGATGCTGAGGACGCTCTCATCATCCTCCATGTCAGACCGACGGTCCCTCTCTGACTCTTCGGACCTGTGACACAGCGCCAGGACTTTTCGCTTCAAGTCCATTCCTCGTATGGACCGCCGCTGCTTCTTTGGCTTCCCCTTCCCAAAGTCATCCTTGTGCAGGTCCTGTCTGTGCTTTCTACTGCAGCTGGCCTCCAGCTCAGACAAGGGGCTCTGAGTGTAGTTACCTGCGGACTTGGCCTTCGGCCTGGCCCGCATGGCACTTTCCTCATGTTTGATGGGCTGACTGGACAGGGAGGAGATCCAGACTTCAGCCACCTTGGTGGAGGGCTCCTGGACGGTGCTGTAGAGGCTCAGCATCTGGCCGCACTTGGAGTTTCTCCTCATGACATCAGCCATGCGGATGGCGCCCGTGGCCAGTGTCTTGTAGCCCAGGACGATCCTGTTCTTATAGTGCTTCCTCTGCTCCAGCATGATCTGGAGCTTGTTGCCTTCTCCCTTGAGGAAGTGGGAGTACTGCAGGGAGAAGGTCAGCGCCAGGTCAGTCTCCACTGGCTCACTGGGAGGCAGCATAATCTCTTTCGACCTCAGGATGCCCTTGGAGTCCTGCATCTTCACGGAAATCACCACAGAAACTAGGTCGTTCGCCAGCTCCTTGAAGACCACTAGCTTCTTTAAAGTGACACTGCACCACCTGGGCACACAGCTGGGGCTGGAGCAGTCCACCGCCCAGGTGGCGAACAGGTTCTGGGCTACCCGTGTTTTGAGCACAGTGGATGTGCTGACCAGCCCCACAGTTCGTGAGCAATCTACAGCTGGTGGCACCCTATGGGTCCTTTTCCTACTCAGGGTTGATGCTTTGTCCTCCTGTGGTGGGACAGAGGAGAGACATGATTGGTGACAAGAGGTGGGGCACAGGCGATCGAGTGTGCAGACACAAAAAGTGGCCACTTGCTAAACTGTGATTAGGTCAGGGAAGGCCTGGGTGGTTGTCTTTTAAACTCAGAGACCTAAAGTTATTCCACAGGATGTCCCAAAATTAAAACTTTTTAACTGAAAGCAGTTCATGGCGGGTCGCCCTGTGCTAGGCTGGAATCTTCTCTTAAAAAAAAAAATTAAAAAAAATGATGATTCTTTACCTTCACTGAGTCTTTTGCAATGTACAAGAATATAGCTTTGGAATATCAACGGAATTTTCCTTGTTCTGGACTCTCTGTGCTCTGTGGAGACCACAAATCCCCTCATTGTTGTTGAGTTCATTGATGGCTATTCTATCTTTTATCCACATATGGGAAAGAATTATGTGTCCATCATTTTACTTTTTATACAATCTATCACCAATGGATTTCATGCAACCCACATACAACTCCACTTTTTATTGTAATGTCTAAAATAAGGTGAAAGCTGCCATTCTCAAGAGTATTGTTTCAATCCATTGAGATTTTGCTTTAAGACAATTGACGGTTTGGCTCAGATAAAATCCCAACAATTGTTCACAGTTTTGACTGTTTCTTATATTGACATTTACTTGGCACAATACAGCAGGATCCCAGAAAAGCTCAGCCAGCACCACCCTGCACACCTACACCTGGTGCTGGGATGCAGCAGACGGCCCATTGACCCACCAGTTCCCTGTCCATCAGGTGAACTTGTGTGACTTGTCTCTTGGATTCAGGACCTGCTCTTGCTTGTGCTGCTGACTTTATTTAAGCCACATTTTTGAATACTCTTGGTGGAACTAAGGTTAATGCTTGACAGATCTCAGGCTAAGGGGAGACAGGAGGAAAAATGAGCCTGCTTCTTGCTTTTCTGTTGGAATTGCCTTTTGAGAGACTGGGGAAAACACCTGGGATGTACAAATGAGAGCTGCCCTCGTTCACCTAGGAAGATAAAGGGGCCCATCATCCTTCCTGCAGGAATCTCAGGTGTTCTTGGACAACTGAGGATCTTTGCGAATATGTCAGAGGTCCTTCCTCGTGACACGCCCAAGCCCCATAGGGAAATTCCCAAACAAGTGTGACTAAACTAATTGGCTCTTCATGGGGAGGACTAATCAGGTTTGGTCCACCTGCACTGGAAGCCCTTCTGGTGGTTTTACACAGCAGGCAGAGAGACCGAGGCACATAAGAGGGTTGCATGAGACTCTAGGGGAGTGAGCATCGTGCAGCTCCATCTACAAAGCAACACACTTCAACCCACTACATCACATCCTCGAAGATGTGCTGAGACTCTGCAGACACCAAACAACAATAAAAACAGCAGCAGCAAACACACCTCTAGTTAACATGGAAAGTTGTGCCTCCATGGAACTCCCAGGCTCCAGCCCTCATTAATGTCCCTGATAGAAAGCCTTGCCTTGCAAGTGCTTTATACAAATAGGAAGATTTATCTAGAAAATATCAACTGAAAAATAGTCAGCATACAATTGTCTTTGGTGCCTACATTAATTTTTCCCAGGGCGGGAAATAAAACTAGAAAAATGCTGGCCTGAGAATTAAACTGATTGAATGAATTGGACTCATATCTTGATTTGGAAATTAGAAAATTCTAAGGAGAACCCCAGATAAATGCTCTTTAAAAAGAGAAATTTCGGTGATTGTCTCCTGAAGTTAATAAATGCTAACACGCCATCTCCCACTTCTATAGCATGCCCATGCCCACTACATCTTTTGTCCCCTGAGCTTCCTTGTCCAGAAGTGTTCTTTCCCTTTCCTTCTTCCTTCCCCTTCTGACTCCTCCACTGCCACTCCCCACTGACGTAAGGGAAATGAGAATAGGAATTCTCCCAACTCCCTTTGGAGGAAAGCTGTTCTCAGCCACCGAGGAACCAGCAATCCTTCTGCATTCTCTCTGCGGCCTTGTTTGGTTCACTGAGAAATTTCACTGTTGCAACATGTAATCCTGGCCATTCTAACCTATGCCAATTAATATACTCCAGGTTTCTGGGAGCACAGCAACAGAATTACCGAATAAGGTTGTCAGAAAACTGCTGTGGAGAAGTCTGCCCACTTTAAGGATTATAGGAAATGAAATAGCATTTAGAAAAAGTAAACAAAACAAAAAAGTATAGGGTGGCTCCAATGTGTTTCCTCTTCTCACTGACAGTTTGGGAGAATTTTAAATTATCATTAAAAGGGAAGCCACTGACTGACCTAGCCATTTAGTCTCGTGGGATAGAGTAGGGGTGTCGAACTCAATCAGAGAAGGGGCCAAAATCTAAAATCCAGCCTGAATCGCGGGCCAAATGGTTTACTGAACAGTCATAAACTGTCATTGTGATGGAAACGCAGCGGAGTGCAGTGATGACAGCACGGTGCGGGCCACATTGCAAGGCCTGGCGGGATGGATTTGGCCCGCGGGCCTTGTGTTTGACACATGTGGGATAGAGCATCAGCCTGAGGATTGAAGGGTCCAGGTTTGATTTTGGCCAAGGGCACATGCCCAGGTCGCAGGCTGTATCCCCAGTAGGGGGTGTGCAGGAGGCAGCCAATTGATGATTGTCTCTCATCATTGATGTTTCTATCTCTCTCCCCCTCTCCCTTTCTTGCTGAAATCAATGAAAATCTTTTTTTTTTTTTTTAACAAAAAAAGGGGGGGGGGGGGGAAGCCACTAAGTCTCCTGTATATACTGAGGCTACTTTATTTGTTCTTAACCTCACCCAAATAACTGCTTCCCTACAATTGTCTGTTTTTTAATCAAAACCTGTTTTCTTGCAACAAGGGAATGTTATGGGACTATATATCGATGGAATGCTTATCAAATCTTCCCCAATTCACCTGGTAAGTGAGTGGGTTTTTGTCTTTTTAATGAATCAGTGAGGCTGACATATGCCTTTTCCAGAATAGTTACATATACACTTAGGCTAAATGAACCAGATACTAAACCAAAAGGGAAATTAATGACTTTAAAGGAGCCTTCCAGGTGGAAACTAACCTTGAGACTGACCGAACGTTTGCTAGTCATCTTTCCTTCATTATTGTCTTCCACGAGAGCCTGAGAGTTGGCTTCACAGGATACCCGCCCTACCCAGAATGGCCCAAGCAACCCAAACGCGTGCAGAGCTGCCTCTAATACTGGGCTTGCTCTTATGTCTCTCTGTAGATGGGGAAACAGCCCACAGTGATGTGAGCGTTCTCTTATGGGGTACATATCCATCAAATGGCAAAACTTGACCCTGAGTCCCTCAAGGAAGAGTCCAATCTTCTTTTGTTGCCCCAGCTACCTGTTCCCAATATGAAGTGGGTAATAGAGAGGTTTTGCATAATTAATTTTAAGACTATCATACAGCTAGGACCTATCTTGCCATTCCCAAGGAAGATGGACAGAGTTTTCATATACCTGAAGGCCTTTATACCTCTCAGAGGTGTGTGCTTTCTTGAAACTAGAAAAAATGTACCCAAATAGAAACATTCCAAAAGTGGTGAATGATTTTCTCAGTCCCTTGCCAACAGTTGGGTGGCAACCCAGTCCCTGAGGTATTGAAGATGACTATCCTTGTTTTACAAATGAAGTTTTCAAGAGGTCAGAGTTTTGGCTCCAGAAACATGTCAAAGCAAGCCCACCAAATCCTTTTACCTTCCCCAAACCTCCCCTAGTCATTTCAGAGGCTTGTAGATAATTGGCTTTATGCAACCAAAGTCCCAGAACCTTTGAAGTGGAAATACCTGAGATCACCAAGACCTCTTGTCTAGGCCATTTGTCTTTGGAAGATATGTCTTATCCCAAAAGAAAAAAATACCTTACGCACCTGCACAAATCATTTTAGCTTATTTCAACTATTTCTTTCTAACTTATATTTAATGAGAGTTATTGAATATCTAGATATTTTGAAATAACATGAAATACTGAAACATTGCTTGCTAGACAAAAATTATGTTCACCAGCTTTTGGGTTTTTATTACAGAAGGTCTGTAAAATGGATTTGGAGCTGTTGATGTAATGTTGTGTGCTTTGTGAAAGGTGTGTTTCTTGAATGTGAGAGTGTGATTACAATATGTTCATCACCGTCAATTTAAGGAATGCTGGTTATTCACTTTGTGGTTATCATTGTAAATTAAGGCTCCTAAGATTAAAAGTTCCAGCTAAGAAGGAAGAAATTGCATAGTTGTGATAACAGAAGGCTTGAGGTATGGGGAGTCATATTTGAAGGAAAAGGTCAAATGCAAATTTCTCTAAGGATAGTCATTTCTGAATGGGTGAGAAGGTTTGTGAAAGTCAAGAAAAGGTTTGTAAAAGGGGATATAGACTATGAACTTTTGTGAAAGTTTTACATAAAATATTCCGGTCTTTCTCTGCAAAAATTAGTAAATTAAAATTGTGTGTATAGTCTTTATGTGATATGTGTTCATCTATGTGTTATGTGTGGTGAATTTTCAACCTCCAGATGGCATTACTAGGATATAATCTTTTATTGATCTAAAAGGTTAAATATTTATGTAAATTAAGGTGAATTCTGTAGTTCGGACATAATATTTAATATTAAAACTGTTTATAAGTATTATTAATATCTCTTAGAGTTATTACCATAAATCTGTGTTTGCTTTACTTAGATTTATAAAAAGTCCATGGTATAATCTTTTGCATAAGTATATTTGACAACCTTCCTAAAATTTCTATTTTAAGAGATCCTTTAAACAAAAGATGAGTTTGAGTTAGTTCCAATGGGCCCTGAAATACCTAAAGGATTTATTCTCTTGCCTTATTAAAGGACCATAGTGGACCTGAATTAGTCCTACTTCATATGCTTGAAATTACCTGAGAAGCTTAACCAACTTAAAAAATGAAAACAACTGTGCTATTTGTGTACATATATTTTTATTAAAATGGAAGTTCTAAAGATTTCAACCTGTCCTAGGAAGGAAGGCAGAAAGACTCAAAGAAAAGTTCAAATAAGAAACTCTCATGCGGAACAGGGGTCTTGGTGTCAGCCACACCCTGCCAGCTCCAGGTATTTGTGGTGCAAACATTGCAAGTTTATGATTTTTCCCCAATGCTCAATACAAGAAGCCATGGACAATGTTTCAAAATCTTACATGTTATTTGATCCTTTTATATATTAATAGAAATTTTGTATTGAATCCAAATATATACATATACGTATATTTTTTCATATTATTCTCTGTCATTTTATAGTAATCACTAGAAGCCTGATGCACAAAGATTTGTGCCAGAATGGGCCTTCCTTTCCCTGGCTGCTAGCACCATTTTTGCTCTGCTCAGAGGCCTGGACTGGCTGTGTATGAAAATAAACCCTCATTTTGTTGGGTTAATTTGCAGACCCACTCCTGATTGGCTGCTGGGTGTTGCAAAAGTACAGACAATTAGCATGTTTGTCTGTTATTAGTTAAGATTATTTTCCAAAAATTATTGTCTTGGTATAGTTTACCAAAAAAGCAAAGTTTTTTTTTTTAATCTACTGCATTACAAACAAATCTATAAGCACTTAGTTTTGTCATTCATACATAGTTATTGTTTTACTCTGATGAATTTTCAAATATGTTACATCTTTAGAAAAATCCATGAGAAAGATTCTAGCTTACTCTAAATAACAGGAGATATATATATATATATATTTTTTTTTTTTTTTACAGAGAGGAAAGGAGAGAGACAGAGCTAGAAACATCTATGAGAGAGAAACATCGACCAGCTGCCTCTTGCACACCCCCTACCGGGAATGTGCACGCAACCAATGTACATGCCCTTGACTGGAATCGAACCTGGGACCCTTAAGTCCGCAGACGGACGCTCTGCCACTGAGCCAAACCAGCTTTGGCTCAATAACAGGTTTCTAAGCAGGTCACATCTTTGATCTGAATGAAGAAGTATAGAATTCTAAGGAATAACTGAATTCATGAAAATATTGGCAAATAACCAGGATAAACAAAAAATGGGTACAGAACTAAATGAAGTGAAGATGAATTTTTATTGTTATGACTCTGTTTAAAATACTGCTAATTTTTAAAACTTTTTTGTTTTCCAAACAAGGAAAACTAAAAGCATGCATTCCACATTACTATCAATGACTCACTAATAAGGTTGGATATAGTGACTGATACACTTGGGACATTCATTTCACAGTACTCCCAAGAGGCAAAAACTTTACAGACCAAAACTTACAATACAATCAGGAGAGTTTTCTTTATTGAAACACATTAATTATACACTCTCTCCAACATGTTTAAAAGGGCTTTACTTCATCAGAGGCCTAACCACAATGAACATCTGTCTCTGACACTGGTTTCCATCTACCACGGAGATTGAAGACATTTCAAGGATGAGAATAAACTGGCCATGGGAACTGACCGCTATCTCAAGAAGTCAACAAGGCCTAGATGCTCACAAATTACTGCTGCTCAAACCCTGTTCTTCTAGCTCCTAATTGTTATTGACTAAATGTACATCAAATGATTTTATATTGTTATTATCCTCTTTCTGATTTGCTAATGGAAACAATATCTGTCTCCCCAGGCCCCTTCCTTGCTACACATGAAAACTTGAATTTGGATACCTGCTAATTTTTCCGACCTACTCGACAATGACATTCAGAAAATCAGTTATCATAACGAAAGGGTAGAGTCTTAACTCATCTGGCCAAACATAGCAAAGTACAAGTGACAGTGGATGAAGCATAAGTACAAGTGACCTGCTGGAAGAGGTATGGGGCACCTGTGCCTCCTGCAGGAAAACATATAATTAGCTTAATAAACAATTATGGCCGGGACCGGTTTAGCTCAATGGATAGAGCATCGGCTTGGGGACTGAAGGGACCCGGGTTCGATTCCGGTCAAGGGCATGTACCTTGGTTGCGGGCATATCCCCAGTAGGGGGTGTGCAAGAGGCAACTGATCGATGACTCTCTCTCATCGATGTTTCTAACTCTCTATCTCTCTCCCTTCCTCTCTGTACAAAATCAATAAAATATATTTTAAAAAAATAAAAAAATAAACAATTATGATAATGCATGCAAAGTGTTTTTTGGTTGGCTGGGTTGCTTATTCCCCTCAGTCTAGCACTAGACACTTTCTATTCCTAGATGGTGTTAACTGCTTTCATACCATTGCTTTTGTTCCTGGTTGTAAATGTTATACTAGACGCATAATTCCAAAACTTGAGGCAAGAAGCAAAAGGACCCTGCTCATGATAGCTCAAAATTTAAAATTGATACAGAATATTTTGTACAAGGACATATAGGATCTCATGGTCTCCCATACACCTGCCTTTTTTATTTTGAATAATCATAAAATTCCACCTTGAATGCCATTTAATGTTATGGTCTTGCCTTATCCCCAATGGTCCATTGTTCAGCAAGAGAAAACACAAACACTGATCATCGATGCATAATTTGTATTGATTTATGAACAAAAGGAGGGTGCATGAACGATAAAAGGGGCTACATGCTCACCTGACTAGCTCAGGGAACTCCGGTGTGGTGGCCTTGCAAACTCAGAGACCTTAAGTAACCATATGGGATGGTCTGAAATTAAAACACTAACTAAAAGGAGCTCATGGTGGGTAGTCATGTCCTAGTCTGGCATTTTCCTTGACAAACGTCAATCTTAATAGACTCTTAACAGAGTCTATGTACTCCCTATTTGCATTTATGATAACATATATTTGGATTATAAAAGGAATGTTCCTTGTTTTGGACAACTCATGCATAGGCACCACTCTGTGCTCTGAAGAGATCAACAAAGATCTTTGTTATTCAGTTCATTGTTGACTTAAAACTATCCTACGTCCACCTATGAACAAGAAGTATGTGCCTACCATTTTATCATTTATCCAATCACAGAAGTTCCCACTCTTTGCTTTCTCCTCTCTCCCTAACCTATCACCCATGGATTTCATGTAACACACATAAGGCTACACTTTTGCTTGTAATGTATAAAATACGGTGCAAATTCTCATTCTCAATAGCATTATCTCAACCCATTGAGATTTGCTCATTCACGATTATCAACACATTAGGTCAAATAAATGCACAAAACTTTTTCACAACTTTGAACATTTTTCACATTGATAAGAGAAAAGGTTCTTTGCAGGAAAAAGTAGAATTGGAGGTGAGGAATATGAAACACGTTAGTATCTTAGGTCATTTTCATAGCAGAGGACAGACAGCACATGCTTTATTAACAGTGTCTCCCGTGTGATTTCTGACAAAACATCCCCATGTAAGATGAGAACACAGAGGCTTTTTCTGGGATATTAGGACATGTGTTGTATTCAGGGTGGCACCATTGTCATGGCAACAGAGGGGATAAGGTCCAGGTCCCACAGCAATGACGACATGGGTCGCCGTGATAACCAGTCCCTACAGCACAAGGGGCGGCCCAGCTCCTGATCTGGAGGAAATGGGGACCTTTGGAAACTGGATGCTAGGAGGACTCTCAGGGGAGAAACAGTGTGCCTTCTGGGACCCAGGTCCTGTTGAATCCCAGGGGTGCTGGAGTATGGAGCAACTGGTCACCTATACTCACCCTGCAGCCGTCCTGCATGCTGGAGGAGGTATGGGGCACCTGTGCCTCCTGCAGGGGCATCGAGTTGAGGACCCCATCTGTCAGGTCCGGTCTATTCTCCTGTGTGGAGCTCTGTAAAGACAGTTCCCAGTCAGCAGGGGAAAGCCTCAGAGCCCCGGCTTGCTGGTTCTGTGACTCCTGTGACCCTTCAATCCAGACACACACACACACACACACACACACACACACACACACAGTGTGATCTACTTAGACCTCCACTGGTGAGGAAAAGGCATGACAGCCTGAGGGCCTAGGATTCCCACTGGCACACATAAAAGACCCCCTCTGGACCCATCTCCAATTACCTGCCCTGCCCTTCCCTGCTCTTGGGTGTGATCACAGCAGGCCCTCTAGGTTATCCACTGCCCTGAAAGCTATTCCTGTCCTGGGATTCTCCTTTCATGTCCCTCTTCCCATCACATGAAGGGGAAGGGATGTGGGCTGCACAGGGATGGCACCCAGAGCAGGCTGGCCTGGTGTGAATGGGTCTGACCCAGGCCACCTTCTCTTACCTGAGGGGATCTTCTTGAAAATGGCCAGAGATGTCGGGCACGAGTGTTGAACCGTCTACACAGTCTGGAACACCTCTCACTGCAGGGTCTCTGGGAACCAGAGCCCTGATGACTGGGAACACAGCAAGAGAACATGATGAACTGTCAACCGTCTCTTGCCAAGTGAGTGGCAGTTGGGCAGTTGCTTGAAAGTGGGTGCCTGGCTACATGGATTCCAAGTTCTATTAGGAAGTGACATCACTTCCTGGGATTGCCCCCTGCCCCGAACCCCTCACCTAATAACAGATATAGTTAGTCCTGTGGCCTGCTGACTGCTCACCCACTTTCTCCATGCAATATCTTCTCCATGGAATATCCAACAGTGTACACAGTGACCCCAACACACCCTCTCCACAGCCCCTAGAAGGTCTGGCTGCAGCCAGGGTCCCAGATTTGAGGAGAAGACATAAGCTCAGACTCAACCCCTAGTTCTTACCTCCTCTTGATCCTGGATAAGTCACTGTACCTGTCAGGGCCTGCCTCTCCCCTGCCTGCACATTGGGTTATTGCAGCATTTGCTTCTTAGCGATGTTCAGGCTCATGAGGGGGAGTAGCTAGCAAGTAGAAGGAGGACTGTCACAGGCAAAAGTGCCTTAAACCTTCTTTTAATTCCTATTGTCACCTCTTCTGGGTCTGCTTTTCTTCTACTCTCACACAAAATCATTGGATCTAGCTTGTGTGTGTGTGTGTTCACATTCATGCACAGTATTGCTAGGTTGTATTATGTTGACAGAGCCCTGAATCTCAGTGGTTTAAAGCGGCAAAGTCTCTAATTTCATAGCCAGGTGACTTCAGTGATCTGATGGATCTAAATAGAGTTCCTGTCTTTTGGATTGTTCATCGTTTTTCTTATTGTAAGGGTGAGAGTAAGGACTTCCAAGCTCTTATATGTTTGAGTGGAAATCAGAAGTTGCCATTTTATTTGACAATGGACTGGGGTGGACATGACTTCTATTTCCCCCTTTCTAACAGCTGCCAATTTCCACATCCAGGTGGTTCTGGAAAGTGTGGTTCAGGGCCCCAGAGTGGAGGTATGAGCACATCTAACTGGCTTAGCCACAATGATGATGGTTGCATGTGGACATGTGACTTCAGTGAGTTTAATAAAATTATTTCTATTAGTCACAAGAATAAGAATTTTGTTTGCATACGTCTCTTGTCCTATTGAAAACATGCTTAAAGTCACTAATCATCCCAGAGATAAAAATCAAAACCACAATGAGGGCGCTAGCCGGTTTGGCTCAGTTGATAGAGTAGAGTGTCGGCCTGAGGACTACAGTAAGGTCGTGGGTTCTATTCCAGCCAAAGGCACATGCCCAGGTTGGCGGATTGATGTCCAATAGGAAGTGTGTAGGAGGCAGCCAATCGATGATTCTCTCATCATTGATGCATCTATCTCTCTCTCTGAAATCAATAAAAATTATATATATTTTAAAAACACAATGAGATACTATCTCTCACACCTGACTGAAAGGCTATCATCAAGTCAACAAAGAACAAATGATGGTGAGGACCTGGAAGAAAAGGAACACTTGTGCACTGCTGGTGGGAACACAGACTGGTGCAGCCAATGTGGAAAACAGTATGGAGTTTGTTTAAAAAATTAAAAATGAAACTCCCAGTTGACCCAGGAAGTCCACTTCCAGGAATATATCCCAAGAAATCAGAAACAACCATCAGAAAGGATATATGCACCCCTATATTCACAGCAGCACAAAAGCTAAGATTTGGAAACAGCCTAAGTGCCCATCAGCAAATGAGTGGATTAAAACACTGCAGTACCTATGCACGATGGCATACTACGCTGCTGTAAAAAGGAAAGAACTCTTACCATTCACAACAGCCAGGTTTTATCTCTGGGATCAGAGATAATCCATGTTAACATGTCTTGCTATTTCTCCTTTGCACAAGTTTATGACCTCGTCCCAGAAGATCTAGGGACCAAACTCCTACCATGTCTGCTAGCTCTGTGCCTAGGTGCCCAGGGCAGGAGTAGACACCCATTAGGTATCAATAAATGCCTGTGGGTCAAAAGTGATCGCTTAAATCCTTGATTGAGGGCAAGGACCTTGGGATTTCCCTCCATATTTTTCTTTAAGTGCCCAGAGAAGCACATGGCATACTCTGCCAAAGCATTTGTCACTTGGTATTCACAGAGTTTGCTGTGCTGGTGCCTTTCTTCCCCTGTCTGGCCCTGAGAGACAAAATCCCAGTGGATAGAATAGAGTGGATGCTGGCTTTACCCAATGGCATGCTGCTCTGAGGTGCTCCAGAACCACCTTCTGAGACACTGTTCAAGTAAACCAGACACCCAATCTTACCTACTGAGCAAGCTCGTTGCAGGGGGTGTAGTTTCTTAGTGATTCGTATCTGAGCAAGGAGCTTAGGGGGGGACCCAAACCTTGCTGGAGGCTTAGCCACATGAATTTCCTTTAGGCCAACAGTACTTAGGTCTTCTGTGCCCCAAAACCTTGACTCTGCCCTTGGAACATTGAGGGGCAAGAGTGATTCTTACCCAGAAGTCCTGTCTTAAGATAACACGACTCATTTCTTCAACTGCATAATATTCATTAGGTATGCACAATAATGTAGTTTACTCAGATGTGTACTCATAGATGGTGCAGTAATTCCAAATGTTTATGTTGACAATGTTGTCATAAATTTACTACTACTCATACATTTTCAATTTCACACTCTTTCTTGAATTCTTATAAAATAAGTTAAAAAGAGGAGAATTGTGTCAAAAAATTGAACATTGTATTTATTTATTTTAATATATTTTATTGATTTTTTAAAGAGAGGAAGGGAGAGAGATAGAGAGCTAGAAACATCAATGAGAGAGAAACATGGACCAGCTGCCCTTGTACATACAATGTACATGCCCTTGACCGGAATCGAACCTGGAGCCTTTCAGTCCTTAGACCGACGCTCTACCACTGAGTTAAACCGGTTTCAGCAAAAGATTGAACGTTTTAATTTGTGTGGATGCCCTAAATTATTCTCTAATAAGCTTTTCCCAATAAAATATTTTCCTAAAATATATGAGTGGCTATTTTTTACACTCTTTCCTGTACTCAGCTTTTCCTATTGCTCTCTGCAAGTGAAAATAATTTTTCTGAACTTTTCAAAGGAAAGTATGGTTAAAATTGGTTCCCTGGCTTCATAACAAAAGAGCTCCCTACTTAGCTGATTTGATGTAGGATTCAAATTGTGGTAACATTTTCTGATCTTCTGTGTCAGCTTTCCTTCCCCAGTTTTACTTGTACTGCGACTTTCCTTTGCCCTCTTTCCCTGTCCTACTCAATTTGGATTCTGTTACCAGTAACTTCCCCTCTTCCAAATTACACCACCATCCAAGACTTCCCATGCAACTAAATACCCTCTTGCCATTTCCCCTGCTCACCACTCAGGAGTTCAAACTCTTCCCCCATTAACCCTTTTTGGACCTTCTGGAGGGCGCCTAATCTGAAATGAAGGGTCATCATTGTTTTGACCGTGCACTGAGCCTCTAGTACATGAATAAAACTAGATGATTTTAATCTCCTGGGCCCAGTCCACCATTGACATTTCATGATTTCAACTACAAGTGGAGTTACTTCTTTCCTACCTTTCCTGTTCTTGTCCAAGGTCAGGCCACCCTCCCCACCTGTTGGGCCACTGCTCTCTCTGCTTCTGATCTTGTCCTGTCTTCAACATGTTCTCCTCCCTGCAACCAGGGTGATCCATTCAACTTAAAACCAACCATCCCCCCCCGCTACCTGATTAAGACACTTTAATGACTTCTCATTGTCTTTAAAACATAAAACAGATTGAGGTCTATCCCGATGGGTCTTTTTCTGTAAACTTACATCATTGAAAACGCCTCATAGAATAAATATGTTGCTTCCTTATTCACAGAACTGATAGATCTGTGGGAAGGAGTTACAAGACAGCTTCTAAAACTGCAACAGACTTAATAATCTTTTTAATTTTTTTAATCTTAGGTATTTTTGTATATCCTGAAGATCTGTACTATTCTAGAGAGTGATAGCTTAGGAGTGAAGATTTGCACTTATTCATGTTTAGTGGGTGTCTGAAATTAAAAAACCAGGCAGATACTATTCAGACCTGAACTACGACCCTAAAGTAAATTACCTGAGGAAATTAGCTCCCAACGATTATAGGTGCAGTTTTTGAAGCATGTCCATATTCAAGTGTAGATCAAAGAAGGTCAGCTAAAAGGATTGTGGACTGGTTGAAATGACATCAGGATTGAGCAAAAAAAAAAGGGAGTAAGATGATTGATTAAGACACAAACTCAAGAGGAACTAAGGCAGTGGAAGAACTTAGAACATGTGAAATTCCTTAAATAAATAAAAGTTTATTAACTTAAAAAAAACCCACATAAAACAGAATGACTCACTGGCTTGTTGTGCCCGGTAGCCCTCCCAACCTCAACTAGTGCCTCTCACAACTTCACTCACAAACACC